TTTATTGTTTGATTTTAATTAGCACGACTGTCATACTTTTCTGTTCAGCCTCTGAAAAACGTCTTCTGTGGTTCTGATGATCATCTCTGCGACATAATGTCGAATGAAAGATGCTTTTATATTCTCACGCTGCACATATTTGTCTTTACGTTGTATATATCTAATTACATGTGTTTTCAATTCCCAACTTAGTTAGTTACTACTTGCTGATGCCTCGTTGACTCTCGCTGCTGTAAATTTCCACACTAATAAAGGATTATCTTATCTTATCCATCTAATATGGTGAAATGAAAATGGTGAAATTAATCTGGCCGTGAATTACAACACTTCCTGACGACTGCAGTTTATCTGAGGACGTAGAAGAAGACGTGTTCCACTTGGTCCACAGACCGACTGTTCAGGCACGAGGAGTTAACCTGCTTATTCAAATGTAGAATGTTGAACTCATCGTCTAATTCACACCGAATTTGGGTTTGCTTTAATTTAATTCAGTTTATTTTCCAGGTCTTTATAACACTAGGAGACTTAAGGGACATAACTTTTAATTATGTGCAACATTTTATTTTCGAGCTCTGTCTACTTGTGTCCTCCCATCACAGGCTGCTAACGTCCCTGAGCAGTTCTTTCTCCTAATCTACATTTATAGTGTCTTGAATTAGAGGCTGGACGAGTCATGAGTCAGAAGAAAATAGCAGCAGACGTGTTTTGTTTTTCCTCGTCGGTCTGGTGGAGTGTGTTCAGACTTTATTTACAGTGGGTTGTGTAGTGGACCACCCTGACAGAGACAGGCGTGGCCACTGGGACACAACTGCTGACAAAAGACTGTGTCCATTGACCTGAATACCTCCTTGTGCCACACACCCGGGTTTGTGCTCCTGTCATTGTGAGGACATCGTTCGTTCTTCAGCCCCTGACCCTGAACTAAACCCCGACCCCACCTCTAATCTGAGTTTAACCCTGAGGCTCTTTGTAAGTGTCCTCACGGGTACTGTCCCCACAAAGATAATCATACAGTGACACACAGGCCCTGCTCAGCCTGTTATTCATCTGCTGTGCAACACTAAGACCAACATTTGATCTTATTCTCTTTGTCTGCCTTCGGTGCACAGACACACACACACACACACACACACACACACACACACACACACACACACACTCATAGACATAATGCATTGGCCAGCCTTCATCACAACTAAATGCTTAAACTAAGTCTCAACCCTCAAACAACCCTTTGACAAAGCTTGAAGCTTGGTTCAGACTCTCAGGTGTGAAAACGAGTGTTTCCTCGTGTCTTTGGATCAAAGATGGAATCTGCAGCTTTTTACTGGAAGAACAGAGAATGACATCACGTGACAGGTCGTCAGTCACTTCACCTCCGAGAACGATTCACAGTTTGTGTGTCAGCCCTTGATAGTTCTGCTGCTAGGATGTGGTGAAGTGAAATGATGCAATCTGTGTATTCAGTTTCCTCCGTCTCCTCCCTCAGATGACGCTCGTCTGTTTGGCTTCATCCGAATCACGACGGGAGACGCCATGAGCAAACGAGCCAAGTTCACCCTCATCACCTGGATCGGCGAGAATATCAGCGGCCTGCAGCGCGCCAAGATCAGCACCGACAAGACGCTGGTGAAAGACATCGTGCAGGTCAGACTGTGGTGTCTCATGTGTGAGAGGAGGCCATTGCTTTATTGTCCTTATGAGCGAGTGATAGAATGAGGCTGGAATGGTCCCTCTGGGTGGTTCACAGGCAACATGGCAGCAGAATGCTGGATAGAGTGGGAGAAATGTGTCAATAATTTATACATGCTGGTGGGCAAAATAATACCAGAACAAAGACAGCTTTATTCCAGCGAGCTCAAGATCTAAGCTCATTTAGTTTGTATCCAAGTCCACTTCTGTTTAACCCATTGAGACTTAAAGCGATGAATGAAGTCTCACTCTATAACCTCAAACCTGAGTGGGACAGAATTACCAACGTCTACAAAAACTTGAATTTCTTAGAGACAACATTTGTCTCTTACAGCCGCTCGTCTCCATCTGAACCGTCAGCTTCATTATTCCTCCCCTCACCTAGATTACCAGCTGTCATCTAAAACGTGACTTTGCAGAGTAAAGAGCGAAGACTGATGAAAAACAAACTGCTGAAAACACTGACGAGGCATTTCACCTTTCTTGCAAGTATGTCGGTGAATCACGATGTATTTCATCAGTCACATGAATTAAAACAACAAAGTGGATGAGGCGCTCATGTCCCGTCCAGGTCTGAAGGGAGAAGCACAAAAACATCTGGTGTTAAAGGTAAAAACACATGTTGCATCAGGTCTAAGTAAACTGAGGAAGGAAGCTGTGGTTAAAAAACCTACGTCTCTCAATTAGTCATTGTGTTTTTGATGCAACATGCAATAAACCAAGCAGAGTCATCATCTCCAATTCAAACCTGCACCTGCTCGGACATGTTAACATACGACCCAACCAAAAATGATTCAGTAAACTCATTCGTGTGCTCCAGGTTGTGTTGTGGTGTTTTCTGTCAATGGGTTTGTGTGAGACGTCCCTGCCACCGTACCCAACAGCTCCTCAAATTCAATCAGCAACAAATTTCACACACTCGTAGATTTCCATCTTGTTAATGTTCCTGATTCTTTTCCAAAATGCTTCTAATGCTGCTAATTAACAGACGAAGATCCTAAATGTTTGGTCTCAGGTGGAGAAACGTAAAAATGTTGATATGTTCTTGTGTTTACAGTTGGTTCTGTAGAAAACAAGTTTCCTAAAGAAGTCCCTCTGTAGCGGGCTGAGCCATGAGGAGCAGTTGGTGTTGAACATCACTTGATGTCACGATTACACTGTCGGATCTTGTCTGAGTAGTTTGCCACAGATTTGCTGTCAGCCTCTGCAGTTTGTTCCGACCGGCAGTCGTTGTGAACTGATGTTGTATTTTCGTTGTTCATCCTTTGCTCGTACTCTTCTTCACTTCAGCTCATGTTTTGTTTCTGCAGAACTTTGCGAAGGAGTTCATGATCAGTGATCTGAGGGAGCTGGACATGGCCTACATCCGCACGGAGCTGCAGAAGGCCGGCGGAGCCAACTACGATGCTCAGGCCGAGTAGAGAAGCGCCACGTTCCACTGGAAGTGTCGGGGTCGGGGTGGGGGTATGGAGGGACAGGGGGTCGGGGTGGGGTAGGGTTTTGGGGGGGGGGGGTTGGAATAAGTGGGGGTGGGGAGTGTCGGGGCAGGGCTGCTACCTCTTGGGGAGAGGGCGTGGCAGGATGGAGAGGTCACCTGCAGAAAATGCACGCGCCAAGCACAAACGTGTTCCTTTCAAAGTCAGTTAAAGGAACAGATCAAACACACGGCTGAGCCAGTATGAGTGTTTCAAACACGAGTCAATCAAGAGCTACGCTGCCTGATAACGGCTCATTGTGAACCTGTTGATTTAACTCTTCTTAAAACGCAGCTTTTCATGTGTGTCGGCAGAGATGTTGTTGGTGCACCTCTTAAATTTCTGCATTTGGGCATTTATTCACTTAAAGTGAGCGCATGAGCCGCATCGTTCACGTGCTTACTTCCATCAGTTCGTGTAGCTGGAAGATGAAAGACGAGGAGGAGGGTCAGAGCAGAATCATCAACATTTTATTAAGACTGACTCTGTCCAGCAGCTCTGGACCAGAATCCCCCGACCATCACCTCTACAGCTCAGTACCTAGTTTCTATCTCGCCACGTTACGCATCCATCAATCAGGAGTGTAAAAATGACACGGAAGCAGTTGCCAGGCAACAAGCGGAGACTCCAGGACGTCACCAGGGAGTTTTCAAACCTCTTCATAACAAGATTAAAACAAAAAATTATATCAACAAATTCAGATTTGCTGCTTTTAGCTCACGACCTCCGTTTTGACGTAATTGCGGTGAAGACGTGCGTTTCTTAATCTTTCCAGCTGCTTCTCTACTACTGCTTCTGCTCGTGGCCCAAGAAAGAGTCGCACGAATAATCCAGCGTAAATGACCAATTATCAGCTTGACCTTGTTTTTTGGACCAATTGAACAAATGGGATCAGATATATGTTGACTAACGACCTGCAGACATATTGGTTTGCACATTTTTTTTCTAAACTGTTTCTGCACGCAAGCCGTCGCTCTGACAGAACGCAGATCATGTGAGATAGCTCTCAAGCAAACGTGCGAGCAGGTCATCTCCTCTCCGCCCTCTGCCCTCTCCCCAGACAGCTCATGGTTGGTTATCTACTGTGCATCATCATCTCACACTCATCCTCATCTCAGCTGAGCGGCAGCTGAGCAGAGTGAAGTTAACATCGAGGCCCGGTTTGAGTTTTCATGTAATGAGGATGTGATCAGCTCAAGGGTTTCCCTTCTACGCGCCGTACTGTGATCGTGGAACATGTTTTAGACTGTTTGTAACTTAACTGGATGGGAAGTGACTTCATTGATGAAGTGGCTGCATCGTTCTGAAATGAAGCCCTTCAACTTGCAGGCATGTGCTTTGACACCAGAACATGCTCTTAGTCATGATACACTGAACCACCAGGAGGAAAAGATCTCCGCTGATGGATTTCAGCTCACTGTGAGGAAGCGTCATAAAGTTCACATTTAGCCACTTCTGCATTTCCAGCCAGACAGTTGAGTTTGCATTTCATCCTCAAGGTCGAGGCTGACTGTAATTCATCTTCAAGCTTTGTTCTGTGAATCTTTTATCACAAGTCCACCTGTGTCTTACTGTGTTTCCACGTACTGTTCACTTCCTCCTCCAGTTTCTGGAGGAAGTAGTTGATGTTTAGAATTTTCCAGAGCTGGAACAGAACCTGTAGACGAGTTCATGTCAAAGAACGAGACTCTGATCCCTCAGCAGCACATCGTCTTTGAGAACGGAGATCTTTTCCTCTGGTGTCTCATCTGAAAGCTTTCCATGATAAACTGTAACCTACTGTGTTTGACTGCCTTAGTCTCCCATGGAGAGAGGGGCATCATGGGAGTCTGTGGACACTACACTGTGATTGGCTATCCTCCAAACATGTGAGCGGGACTTTGATTGGCACGCGCGTCATCAATGCATGAGCCTGGGCTTGTCATCTCCACCCAGGAGGAGCCGTTTCTCGGTTGTAGCATCTCTTTTTGTTAATTTAAACCCTCCCTTCCCCCCCCTTTTATTTTGTTTTATTTTTGAGATGAATTTTATCTTCTCTTAAGGGTTTGACCTCTTTGTTTTCATTTTTAAGAGCATTGTTATTTAGGATATTGGTGGAAGAGATTTTCAAAAAATAATGCAAAGAAAGAAAACTGGCACAAAATCAAGTCATTTCAAAATAAAATTTGATGTTTTTCTTTTACAAAACTGGCTTCATGAAGTGTTTTTTTTTTGTGTCTCTCTGAAACTTACACTATTGGTTGCCTCCATACTGGTTCCATGTTTCTTCAGTGGACTGATACCTTGAAGATGTTATTAGTTCCAGACGCTGTAGAGAGATAAATCAATACAACCTAGAATCACACTCAGTAGAAATCAATCCTCCTCAGATTCAATCAAGCTGCACCAAATTTCACACACTGAAAAATATCAGTCTCCTAAATATGGCGGATTATTTTCCATCATGATCCAAGAATGATTCTGTTCGTTGTCGTGTTAAGGAAAAACAACCTGGTTCTTCGTCTCCATTAGAGAACTACTGTTCAATATGACAAACATATTCCATTTAAATCTGTGCACGTCTTGTCCTGCACCTCAACCTTCACCTTCTTCTCTACATTTTTCAAATTCAAAAATAAATAAAAACTGCAGGAGAAGTCGGCGTCCAAACGAGTAAATGTGCATATTTGCACAGTATTATAAGTATTTTGGTCTGAATGCACCAACAAGGGCTCTCGTATGTACAGGTGTGGGAGTGAGGAGGTGAATAAAACATCTGCTTCCCGGAGCAAAGTTAATCCACAATGAGGCGTCTCTCATGGTGCTACACTTCGCTGAACTTTGAAAACCACTCTGTGTTTACGGCCTAAAGGAGAAAGTATTTCCTCGTAGTTAAATCCAACTCCGAATAACAACTTCACAACTTAATTTACACCGAACATTTTGTAGAAACAGTCATACGCAGCATTGTCAGCAGTTTGAATCATTCATAAAGCTTTGTCTTATTTATTCTTATTTTTATTTTTCGAAATGCAAAATGAAACCAAAAGCTTCCTCTTCTCATATTTCTCCTCATCCCTTTTTAAACTTCTTTTTTATTCCAAGAAGTGCAGCGAGCACTGTTCAAGTTTGCATTTTATTTTCTAAGATCTCTTTTCTCTGTCGGGGCCGGGTGAGGTCATTCTGGCACTTGTGCGTTGGAAGTCAAAGCCCACACGGCAACCGTCGCTGCTAGCTCAGGGACTCCCAAGGGTTTCCATGGATACCACTCCTCGCCCTGAGTCCTTCAGCCTTGGACGAGAAAAACAAAGTCCTCGGGTCATTCAGCGTCTCAATTAGTTCCTCGCCATGTGTCCGTCAGTTTGTTTGACCTCAGTAAATGAACAAGTCATTTTATTAATAAGTTACATATTAGTTTCATGATAAGGTGAATTTCCTGCTGCTGTAACGCATCGGATTGTTTCAGTGACTCCACTGAGTGAAATAAGGAAATCTATCACTGATGATGAGGGTGTGACAGTTAAACACTTTGCTAATGACTTAATCCACAGAGAGTAAGCCTCTTGTGCTCGGCGTTCACGTCGTGCTCAGGTGTGTTAGATCAGCGAGTCCAGGACGGAGGTGGGCGACGGCTGGACATTGATTTTCATTAAATTGACTAAGTGTCCCTTTTCCATGTCAGTGCTTCAGTGACAGCCGCTGGTCTGTAGGTCAGTCGATGGTCCGCAGCTCCACCGTGTGTGTGTGTGTGTTTGTGTGTGTGTGTGTGTGTGTGTGTTTGTGTGTGTGTAGCTGCAGTCAGGAGGGTTTTCAGGGTTTGTGTGAGGATCAAACGTGCAGCAGGACGAGTGTGTGTCGAGGTTGTTGCAGTGATTCTACGAGGACTAATGGCAGGTTGTGTAATGATGGAGCTCCGGTGTGTCACTGTGGCTTTAAATAAGCTGTGAGGAGTTGAGGGAGTAGTTAAAGCTTATGAGTGTGTGTGTCTGTGTGTGTATTTGTGTGTGTGTGTCGGTGGGGGGGGGTCAGGCTAGTTGAAACAGGTGACTATTTGAAGGAGTCTCTTTCTTTGACGTCCATTTCAGTAGAGAAAGAATTCCATGAGCTTTATTTCAGGGGTTCTCCAAGTGGGGCCTGGGGACCCCGGGTTCTCGAGGGGGTGCAGGGGGACCCTGGCAAAAAGGGGAATCGTGCATTTTCACTCTATTTTCATCGGTACATCAAATCTCACACCCTTTCTGTAAGAGACATTGAAAAGCAGAATCTCGTCAGAAGGGTTCTGTGGTCTGGTTGTGTCAGAGGTGAGAACCACTCCTTTGTTTTATTTTAGTTTGGGCCTTTGCTTCCAAAAATAAGGACGTTTCAACATCCAACCGAACCGAAGCAGATGAAGTTCTAAATGTCGCTTCCTTTTCTTATTCCTGAGAAACCAATTATTCTTTCAATTCAACCACAATTTTCAAAGTTGTCAGACGTTGAAAGAAGCCTGAGCAGTTATAACACAGAACCGTCTCCTCCTGTAGGAGTCACACGTCTGCGTTATAACAACTGCAACAACACTTTTTCTGTGAACGTTGACTCTTTAGATTGTATGTCTGCTAACATGGAGGAGGCAGGGTCTATTACCTATACAGCAGCCAGCCACCAGGAGGCGATCCAGATGTTTTGGATTGATTTTTTGCGAAGCTATCGTCTGTCTCCATGTGCAATATTTCTTTTAGTGTCACTATCAAGTCGAATTTTCCATTTTTCCATTTCTTCCATCAATGCAACAACCACAACAACAACGATACTCAGCTGTACTTCATGTTTATTGCTAATTGTCAGATGTTAGCAAAGCTCTTACACGTCAGTATTGTCTAGCTTCTTTTAATGATAGCAGAGTAAATAAAGTTATGTCACCACCCACATGGCCTTGCTCCTTCTCTGCACGTCCTGACAGCTCCAGTCATTGAGACCCAGGGTAAATACTGGATCATCAGCGTCAGTGCAGCAGATAACCAGACTGTGTGACTGTGTGACTGTGTGAATG